AAAAAAAAAAAAAAAAAATGCTAACAACGGATCAGTAACAGACGAATCATGGCAAAACGTGAAATTAATTATTTCCGCTCTTCCGAAAGAGCAGTTTCTCGCTGGGGGAGAAAGAAGAATGCGAAAGAGCAAAGACGAACCGGACATCAGGATTGCATTTCTGCAACGCACATTTTCTCCGTGAACCTATTCATTGGCTGTGATGCAAAGACGCGAACAATAGGAAAGAGGAAGCCGATCATGGAGAACAAAACAAGGACTGCAATCGAAGAACGGCTAAAAGAGAACGAGGAGAACAAACGAGTCGATCGTGTCACGGAATACTGATTGGTCAGGCATCGAAGGCCTAAAACGGCATGCACATGGTTGGCACGTGGTGTTCTCGCTGCGGAAGAATTGTAGCTGGACCGGAAGGCACGAATATGCGGATGGACAAACACCTTCGTAACTATTGTTAAAACCTAGACCGCCCACGAATCACGTCGATGACTAATCGTTTTTCTTTTATCTTGTTTATTCGTGAAATGTTGCTTCTCACCGTAGAAGGCAGAACCGAATCTTTAAAACAACGTGCCCACCTCGACTGAGGAAAGATAACTCTATTTATTTAAACTCTGTCAATGAACGAAAGTTCACATATATATATATTCACTATCTTGATTGTGCTTGCCATTTACGACTTCTCATTCAAATGAAAATAATTCAAAGAAGAAGAATTCGTGTTCTGAATTGGCTACGTTTCTACAAGAGTTAAGGAGAAGATAGAAAACTTGAAGGTTTTAATGGGAAAGTTTGTCCAAGTGAACTTTGACGTCAAATTAAGCGTTATCCGCTCAAATCGTGACGCATTTGTTTAACTTTCAGATGAATTTCGCGCGCATACGTAAAAGGCAAAGAAAGCTTATTTGTATTTCGTAACGCGTAAGTGTTCCAGATGAACGGAAACGTTATGAAATATTTGAAGAACCTTGTCGCGTTCACATGACGTTGGCGTTTCCCTCCCCTTTGATTTCCGTGTTCACGAAACGAAGCCATCTGGCTGACATCAGCGAGTTATCTAGCGCGAGAGACAACGCGAAATTCTCGGTAATCTTATCATAGATACGTAGCTACGCCTGCGTATCTGAAAAGGACTAACCGGTAGCTCGATCGTTTCCGGCCGGAAGTCGTGATTCGTCCTGCATCCGTCCGGTCTATACGACTTTTTCCGCAAAATCTACCTTCGTAGAATGATTCGGAGATCGGTGTCATCGATAAATGCGGACACGTCGTTACTTTGCGGACCTTACTTTTACGACCACTCTCGACCACCTTCCGTGAAACTAATCGCTCTGTCGTCGTTTGAAAGCATCTCTTCTTAAAGGTGTCTACTTGCCTACTCCAAAAGAAACTGATGTGCGTATAACATCATCAAACTTCGTGTTTGAACGATTCGAACTGATGAACAATAATCAACACTGGAAACATTCGAAAGCTTTGAAAGTTTATAATCTCAAGATATATATTTCTAAGCTCAGAGAAATTTCTTCGATATATAAGTACTAATTGCTTAGAACAGATAATGCTTAGTGATTTACAAAGGGAAGTAGAAACGAACAAAAAAAAAAAAAAGAAAACATTCGTTAAGAAGTGAAAACCGCGGAAACAATCGTGAGGGTCGCATTTTTTCAGGTGGAGACGGTAAGGGTTTTAGGAGCGACAGAGGGTGTGGTCTCATGGCGCCTAGCAGACCATTTCAACCCCAATGGAATTCACAGTAAAAAGTTTCGGTAACGCGTGTTAAGAAAAGAAGAAAATGTTGTTACACCTTCGTTCTCACTTTTGATGATACTTGTTAAATTAATTCAACATATAGAAATATTTAAAAAAATATCGAAACATATAATGAACAAGTATTTTTACCAGGTTTACACGTTCGAAACATAAATATCAAATTATTCATAGCTTGTAGACTTACCGGCCTCCTTTCGTAATAACCATTTCTGTGGTTTCTGCGTGAAATTTCTGCCACAATTCTCGATTTTGCAAATCGACATTTACATCTGGAGACAGAGGAGGTCCTCCGCCTAAATTTGGTATCGGTATTGGATTCGGCATATCCTCTAAAACAACATTCAAATAAAATTCTTATCAATTTTTACTTAATTTATTTTTTAAATAAATCATACCAAACTTCTAAAATGTATTTTCTTTGACATATTATTTGTTTAATTGTAATCGTTTCCAACAATCCAGACGCTTCCAGATTTCCTGTGAATCTACAGAACCATGACTCCCGTCATAAGAGATAAAAAAAAAAAAAAAAAACAAACAAATAACCGATGCAACACCATTATCGACAGAAAGACAATTATTCGCGGCGACAGAAACGAAACGAACCGTTCACGCAAAAAGAAAGGCGGAAAAGGAAAAAAGGAGATGAAAACAGTAAAATCTTCTACTAAATCATTATCCTTGCAACCTTGTCCTCCTAGACACTGGCCGAGCGAAAGAGGGACAAGAAATTGCGCGGATGAGGTAACTCGAATGCCGGAAAGAACACCTTTTCCAACTGGATCTATAGGGGCGTCATCGCTTGGCCGCATGAGCGATTCGCCCTGCACTTGTCTCGCGGTTCTGCGGTCGGGGTATTAGGCCCCGGCTAGGATAATTGCGGCCATCGGTTCATCTTCTTTCTCTTCCTGCCGACAGGACGGCCGTTGTATAGCGCAGATAACGATTGTCCGCTCGACCGAAAGTCGGCGCCTTTCATCTTGTCCCCTAGAAGAGCTCGCGCGAATCTATGTCGCCTCCGCGGGCAAACTTAACACGCATTATACGTACGATCTTCAGACTGGGTATTATTCGTCACTTCTCATCACGTGGGAATTCACAAAATCAAAGAATCACACACGGAGCTGAACAACAACGAAGAGATCGAGATGTTTAAGAGGTTCGCGACTACATTCCACGCGACTTTAATTGGATCAATTGAAGAGATTGCCATGAGAGGTCGGTGTCGAGATCGGACGCAGGCAAGGAGAATTTTTTGGATTTATATTGGGATCATTTTTTGATATTGGAATTGATTTTCGGTTGTTACAAAAACAGTTCATAGACAAACGTGTAGAACGAATATTTGTTTTTTATTACACGATTGAAATAAAATGAGATTTGAATAGTAATATAAATGAATAGATTTTTCTAAGAATATCGGAAATGGCAAATTAATTACTTTTGAAAAATCATTTAATTTAAAGACTAGAAAGACTAGAAAGAAAAGATGAAACAAGATGTATAGGATTTTTTTTACGGTTAACGATAATAAAAATTAAGATTCTAAAACCTATGCCAAACCTATGTCAAACTGCAGCAGGAAACTTCTACAATATCGAAAAGGAATTCTGCATTTAAAATTCTATACATGTAAAATAACAAAGTTTCGATACAATCAACAACATCTGAATCAATCTGCATTTATCACGACTTAAAATTTAAAGAAGTAAAAAAATTTTACAAACCTGGTCTGTGTCTTCGGAGAGCTAGTTGCTGCTGCCGGAAGAGCATCTGTTGATGTTGCATCAACTGTAGTTGCAATTCCATTGGCATGGCCATCATCGAATTCATGTTTCGATCAACGAATTCGTTTCTATCGGGTGTGTGTCACTCAGTCGCACGATGTCACCAAAACATCGGAAATTCGATTAAATTTCTATCCGTTCGAAGCTCCCCTCGTTGAAGCTTACTGACGACTGAGGATGCACTTTGGAATTGTAGAGACGACTCCGTTGCAACGATTCATGCCTGCATTCGATGGTTCCTTCTGTTCATTGGTCGATGCTTTCTCCCCACTACAGAAGCGCCGCGCCCACGCTGGTCTTATTGGTCGATGCAATTCCAACTTGACTACAAGTAGCTGCGAAATATATCGAAACACCCACGGTGCAATCGCAGACTAATGAAATAAAAAAGAATCATGGAAATAAATAATAAATCAAAATGAACGCCAGATATATTGCAGTATAAAACAGTCAGATATTTCTATTCTTTCTTCTTTCTTAACTCTCTTCTTAATGCTTCTTTTTGACCACCTATTTGAAATGGATTATCCTTTTTAAATAACAGATCTTAGACCTTTCTTCACTGTACAATTGTTAATATTTTACCGGATTAACGGTGACGTAATTGTGATTGATTAATGACATCATATGATTTTTAGCGACTGCAGTATCATATGATTTTCAAGTTGTAAATTCTTAACAAAACTTGTCGGCCCTTTGTGGAAATCGTTCCTAAAAATAATCAATCGTTATAGCGTTAAATCATTCGAAAATTAAAATCAATTCCATTCGATTAATGCTTGTCTTCGATTGAAGGAATCAATTTCTGTAAGATTCAATTAATTGACATCAACGTTATTTAGCTATACGATAAATGATGAAGAAATGCCACAAAAATTACGCTTGCTATTCTCAAAAAGGAATCACTCTACAATCAAAGAAATTGAACGTAACCGATCAATCCTATTCGAAGAAAACATTTAACGAAAATTCTCGCGAGAAAAAAGTCGCACGACACGCGCGAGTTGAAATCGTAATATCGCGCGTCTAATTTGCGCGGTCGATCGGCGCATTTGAAACGTTGAAACGCACGCTTGTGTTAGCACACGATAGCACTAAGGAACGATGCACGCCGGGTTGTTAGGTACAAGAGAACAGAGGAATCGTCACCATAAATTACAGAATCCAGGCGAGCAGACGGCCGTTAATAGTTTGTTCTCGAGTCTCGAGACGAGACGAGGCGAGAAGATAAAATCAAGAATCCGTCCGCGGTGCGTCGGCGGTCAAAGAAGAACGGAACGGAACGGAGCGCCGCGAGATACAAATCTACGATTTTCTCGCTTCTTTATATGCCCCTTTTCCTCGTCTACCACCGTCCTTGCCCCTGTCGTCGCTTCGCCTTTTTCTCCATCATAGAAATGGTCCCCTCACCGCCTACGACGTCGGTCCATCGTACCATTGAAGTGAGTTCCGGATTGTGGATTAACTGTAAGCGATACCCACAACAAAACGCGCGCGCGCTTTTACCTGACAGCTTCGGCTACCTGTAGTCCTCCTATTTTATGACAATGTCTCTCGAGTATATCATTATAATTGTTTCGAAAGTTATTAAATTTTCTATTCATTGGATGCCTGAGGACAGTACCGTTTGTCGAGTATCAATCAGTACAGAACTTTCTCAATAGATAATAATTCCTTCATTTGTTTATTTTTCAAGAAACTGACAACTATGTAATGACAGTAGGATTAAGTCCTGGATTTTAAAGCCGAGGTATTACTGACTAATATTTCGGGACCTTTTGTAATTTCTTTTTCATTTAAATTTAGTGAGAATTTCGAAGTTTCAAGAAGATTTTGCAGTAGAATCGAAGTATTTTTCACAAAAGAATCTGAGGGAAAGAAAGCTGTGAGTATACAACACTTGAAACAGGACAATTTCCAAAAGGGTGAACTCTGTGAAAGTGGAAACTCTGACTGTATATAGCATTTGAAAGAGAAACAGTTCCTAATAAAGAAAGCCAGAAAATACTTCAGTAAAGAGATGCAGCTGTTTTCGAAAAGGGACAGAAATTCGTTCTACTGGAATTTACAGTTTATCTAACAACGAAATGTTTTCTTGCAAACCGACAGATGAACGCAAGTTCTCTTCGTTTCTTATTTCTCTTAGGAGATGATTTATTTATATTTCCCTTTTCTAAAACAGTGCACACATATTTATAAAATACTAGTAAAAGATATAAAATCTATCTATTCATAAATTATACTATGTGTTAATACATGTATCTATTCAATAGGTATGAAAGTAAGATAGTATTTTGCTTCGTAAAATTGATTCATTCTTAACTAGCGATCATTATCTGGAAAATCAAAAAAACGATTACTATTACTATTATCATGGGAAATACCTTTTTCAGTAATAAAGATTCACAATAGCCTACTAACAGATCAGTTTCAAGTTTCGTTAGTAGGAGGTCTCTGAATCCGGCCGTTTTCTTTTCAACGATAAGATAGATAGACTCCAATCTTTCTTTTTCCTTTCAATCTTAAGTACCTTAATTAGGTGTCAATGGTTCTTATCCCAACGAAAAAGAATTAAAAACAATTTGGTAAGAATCAAAACAACGATCAATCACAGTACAGTACATTAAAAATGTACTTACATACTTACGTCGAAGCTCAATTCGTTGTTGCCATTTTCAATATAAATTCAAGGATATCCACTTTGATAATTAGATTAATGAAAATTTAATTATTGGCTTTTTAAAATCTTTCTGTATAAATTTACGATGACCTGTGTAACCTGGATAACGATCTAAGTGCTAGAAGCTTTTGACAAAGAAAAGAGATACGGTTAAGGGGGAAAGTGAGTAGGGAGAAGCCGACAAATAGGTTTTACGGCTCACTTCCTGTCCGTCGCACGCGACAGTTATGCGCCCCATAATAAGACAGTGGTTACTTTCCGAGATGGCTTAAATTACGAGCGAACGAGTAAAATTATAATTCACGTTTCCACCGATATTACGCTGCGTGTTTCTCATTTATAATTTATTCACAATATTTACCCCTTGAACAGTATCGTCTCTACATATACGCCAGTGACGAAGAAGTTGTGGTGTACGCTTTCAGTACGAAACGTAAATGATATTCTTTACGAAGCATGTTCCATTAGACGGACATTAGTATGAATTTTGGGCTACTTTTTAAAAATTTAAATTTAAATTGAATTTGAATCGAATTTAATGTTTTTGATTCACAAATATATAAGCTGTTTGTCTACCTATAATTATTTATTTTACTGTATCAACAAGGAAGAAATAACTGCAACTTGCTTCTATCACTTAACATCGGAGTGATCGAGCTCGTTTTTCCAAATGACTAGATTTTGAAAGCTTTTTAACATCATGTTGAAGTATTTTTCATCTAGTAAGATCTACTGCAGAAGAAGCCTTTGGAAAAAGAGATAAACAGAAGCAAGGATAAGTAGACTTCCTATCTTACGACGTTAAAGGACGAGAACGAGGAGTTTTTGTTGAAGTGGCCACTCTACCGCGAATGTTTGTGAACCCGAACGGAAGTCTTGTTCGATCATTCAACAAACTGTTCATTTGTTTATTTGTTACGACCGAATCCTTGAGCGAAATCGTGTCTCACGAATGTCGTAGGACATACTTCGAACATATATCGTCTGAAGAAATTTTTAAATATCAAATTCCTCATGTATGTTCGTCAAATTTTATCTTTGAAAGTGAAGCAAGGCATACAATGTCGATCCTTGTAACATGTGTTTCGCAAAAATCTCCAAATCACCGCACACCAAATAAACCGTCAGATAAGCTATCACTAGCTAGTAGAAACAATTAGAAGCTATTGTTATTTCAGGACAGCTGAGAATAAACACATTGTGAAACACTTGTATATATTCTGCTCTTTGATGCAACGAAACATCTGTGCTTCTCTTCACCTATAACCAATAATATTTTTCCATTAATAGGTTGAAAATTAAATTAATCTTTTGTTAACATTTTTAGTGATTAATTTATATGAAATATCATGTAAATACGGAACCTCGTAGGTATTTTTTAAACTTGTTTCAAACTGAATTCTGTAAAAGCAGCAAATGAAAATCCTCCAGTTTAAATATACTTTTACTCGCAATTACGTACAAAATCACGAAAAACTTTTCGCAGGCGATGCGTCAGTATGAACGCGAGGGAAGTTAATTTCTGCACCGTCACGTGGAGGATATAAAGTGGTGTTTCCGGATGGATTTTCGCGCGTGGGCATCGGCGCGCTTTGAACGTTCGCATCTGTGCGCTTCCCACTTACATGTTCGCGCGTTCTTTTTGCGTAAGTCAGCTGCGATTCGCACATCTGATTAGCGTTAAGTTTCATCGGTGTTGCGTTGAAATAACTTGTTAAACAAAAATATCTTGAATCGTGCTCAGTGTCAGATAAAAATATATCTACACCTGTAAAAGTAAAAGAAGAAGCATTTTTAAAAAGAGCAAGAAAAAAGGGATTCATAATGCCAATAAAAATTCAAATTACTGTGTAAAATCTTTAACGCAGCTTTTAAGTGTTTTTCTTCAGGTTTTATTTGTATTTATACATTCTTTATTCATTTTATCTTAAAAGAGTTGTACACAAACTATCGATCGCTGTTTAGAACATCCTATGATACTATAACGTGATAAAGTTATCTTGCAATTGACTGGCTATCGTACATGAGTGCATACAACTCGTATATTATTTCTGTTAACTCTTTCAGTGAATCGACAAGAATATTTATCTAAAATTTGATAAGCGTAACTTGCAATAGTCGTATGATTTAAACTATTTTTTATACGTTCGTTTTTATCTTACTTATGCTTCTATAGAAAGAAAATGTTTTTATTAAAAAAGTTTCAGATATCACGCTTATCAAACATTACTGCTGAAAGAGTTCGCAAAGGAGCAACGTTCATTATGGTATGAAATCGAAATGAAATGACCATTTTGAATTTACGAGCGATCGAGATTTGATCA